CGAAAACTCGTCGCAAAGGTTGTAATCGTACTTGAGTCGCGCTCGCTCGATAAGATATCCCCATGAACTCCCATGGACCTCGTATCCAGTAAGAATGTCTGGGTCGTGAGTTCTGACAATTTCAACCATCTTTGCCATTAGGTCCAGTTCTGACGACTCCTCGATGATCTCAGTCGTGGTTAGTCTTTGCATAGCCTGCGCTAAAGAGCCATCTTCAGATAGTACAACTACTCCAGACTGTACGGCCAGAGACGCATTATTCCCAGTTGCGAAATTCTCGTCCGATCTCGAGCACCAGAATATAGCCTGTACCTCGTCCTCTTCTGGGTTGGGAAGAAGCTTGCCTCGGGTGTTGACATGTATCTCGAGGCTCATAATGCTCATATACTGAGCCTCATGTTGGACACTTGTGGATTCCCGCTTCTGTGAATACTTGAATCCGTGCTTATTCTTCGGTGTGGCACCATCGATTTGAGACATAAAAGGGCGTAACTCAGGATCACGTATTTTCAGGACTGGCTCAGGCGAACAATCCGCAACGTCTTGGCGTCGTTTCCACCAATTTCGTACGTCAGCAAAACTTGGTGGGGGTTGCGCAATTTCCCAACTTCGTAATGAACACTCCAAACGTTGCTTTCTGTAGACTTTCGCGTCTCTTCGGGAGTCAAATAGCATCTCGGATTTGACACCAAAACTGGCTAGAGAATCTCCGCTAGGGTCGAAATCTGGGAGAAATGGGAGAGTATTGCCTTCAAGGCGGAATTCCTGACCAGCATACTCTCGTGCCCGTAGAGGCACATCCTTGTCTTTGCTGTAGTATGCGCCTTGGTATATCACATCAGGTCGACTGTGCAATTGCATGGTTGATAATACTTCCATGACTGATGGCGGATTACGGCTAAATATGAAGAATCGAGCTTGAGGTCGAGGCGCACATCCAAGATCAGTCATCGTGACGGATGGTTTTCCCGTGATTGCACTTGCCGAAGTGTCTGAGGACTCTAGCAGCGAAGTTTGCGAGTTCGTGATTGCCGAGGGTCTCGTAGAAGAATTATAAGTCTCTATAGAGACAAGTTTCTTTGGCTGACTGTCGTCACTCCGCTGAGAACTTGTCTGGCTTAGTCGTAGTTTTGTATTTGGATCATGAGGATCTTTTATCACAGGAAAATTGAGGCGCTGTAGTCCTGGTTGTTTATTTATTTCCCTTTTTGCTTTGGATCTGCTGGCTTGTGAGGGCGGCGCGACTGAGTTTGTGTTTTTGTGGCCTTCTTGAGTAGTCTGGCCATCGGGTTTCTCCTTCTCATTGGCCCTCCCTGTATGGGAAATAGGCGCGAATTCTACACGACGCCGCTTTGGTATCTCAAGGTCTAATGTTGACGGCGCGGCTCGTTTGGAAAGCGTTGTATCTTGAAGGGGATATATGCTTTGAGGGGGTTTGCTTAGCAAGCCATGTTCCGTAGCAGCATCTAATAGAGCGTTGGAAATTGGGAGCTTTGATCGATAACCAGTACGCAAGCAGCTGATATATAGACCTTCAGGAAGTAGGTCCGAATGAGGGAGGAGATTCAACCTGTTGCTTAAACCATTGGTACCTAACTGCTCACATTGATGCGACCCACTAGTTCGCAATTCCTCAGTGGTCTCAATTACTGGATCTACTAACTTCGAGACATTTCTTGGTAAAGGGCAGCGAGATTTACTGATTAAAGCAGACACCCCTTTGGAGGGCTTTGAATCTTGTATTGCGTCCTCATAAGAGTCATCGGGGAATATGTCATCTTCGTTCGGTTCGAGGTCAAGGATCCGGTCCTCATCCACCACAATGCTGCTTGTTACATCATTGAGTCTGGAAGGCTGCGTCGTTCCTAACGCGGCCACTAAATTGTGTGGATATAAATCTTCGACGGACTGTATCAAGGTATTAACCGTTGACTCGAAGGGGGCAGTTTGAACGAATGTGTCGAACGTCACTTCGCTTTCCTCATCTTTTCCATGTTCTTGGTGTATTAGCTTTTGAATTTGATTCCTGTATTCGTCTTCGTGAATCCAACCAGGAGGCTGTGAGTCGCGGGGGTCAGCTGACATAGACACCAGGGCCTCCGGAGGAAAAGGGCTGCTTTGTGCCGTGGCGTTGGACATTCTTCGCTTCCGACGTCTCGTCTCATCATCCCACAGTCCAGCCATACTGTGGACCAACTTCATATCAGCCGGTAATGGTTCATGCCTCTCAATGAAGTCATGATGGAGTTGTCTCTCTCTAATCTCATGTCGGTTCAGGATATCTTGGACACATATATCGACCTCAATTGAACAGTGGCTCACTCGAGGTAGATCTGGATCGTCGGTGATGTAGGCTCTCGACACAGATTGACTATGCCATATGTGAGTCGAGCTCTCGTCATCATCATGCTGTGGAACTGGAGCCCTGAAGCAGGCCTTTTGGACATTGATATATCCACAGCCGTAGAGATTGTAATCAGTCATAAATTGAAGCAGGTATTGCAGATGTGCCTCATATGGCTGAAACTTCTGCTTCATTATGAGGCCCTGTTGAAGAAGTTCGGCTAGCCGTGTCATTACTATGGGATTGAGGATATAGATCTTAAGGTAAAATCGATATCCGACATAGAAGCCGTAGAAAGGAATCCCCTTGACAAGAGTAATTCTGGCGACATATTTGTGGCTACCTTCGTAAACATTGCGTCGATAGCTCACAGCTAGGGCATGGTCGATGGAAAGATGTAACCGGTAGATATATGTGCTCACTGATTTGAAGGAGTCAGCAAATGGGTCACTTGATTCATATGAAATCTTACCATCATCAGGATGCAAACTACCAGGATACTCTATGAAGAGATACGGGAATGCGCCGTGGATATGGGCACATACTTTTTGGCCTGTCTCGGTAGACCCAAAGACCCTGATAACAGGGACTTTGGGCTCTTTGCACAACTGCGACAATCGAACATCATCCCGGAGTGGTGGGTCATATTTTGTCGGGGTTGCTTGATAATGATCGATGCAGTTCAACCGCACGCGGAATACGTCCATGACAACTTATAATGATAACAAGAACCATAGTCGAGAATACATTGAGCAATTTTTATTATTAGCAGCATATTACCATATGAGCCAAATCTTCATGAGAAATAAAGTGAATTATCGATGTAAGCGATCAATCCCCTACAATCGATGAACGCGGTTATCAAAGAAGGCAGACGCGTCGATCTAAGCGCTTTTTGTTTGCTGAATGACGTGACGCGGGTAGGATGATGTGCAGGCAGGCGGCGTCCTTGCAGGGCTCCACCGGCCTTATCGACAAGCTTATCTTAGGTAGTATTCTCCACTGATACCTACCTAGATACGAAGACTAAGGTTCTAGGTTTTACCAAATGCCAAGAGCCGCGGCAAATTAGGCTTAACGCATTCGCCGCTTTTGCTCAGGCTTGGCTCACCCTATTGTCAGTTAGGTGACTGATTTCAGAAATAAGCGATTCTGGTCGGTTCAAACAATTGTGTGTGTATTCAATCTGTCAGTGTGCTCGACTCTGACTCCTGTTGCTCCCATACAAGTTTTGCTGTACTAAGTGGGTACCCATATGTATCCTTGTCGAGGTTACAATGCGCCGACCATCCGCTGGGTAATTACCCCTTATTTCCAACACCGAGCAACTTCCTAGGAAGTCGCTCGAGTCATACGGTCCCATAGTGCATACTAAAATCCGTTTGATTCTAACGGGTATGTAACCGACTAACTCACGCAAACGTGCGCTTCGTGAGTGTGGCCTAAGGTTCGCATCCCCCGGCGGCTAGACAAAACCCGACCTAATCCCCTTCCCACTAACACTCCAAGTCAGCCAGAAGCATCTTCTACACCCGACTTAAGCAAGTTCTCGAGATCTCTTTGACCGAATTACCACCGTCGATCCGGTACCCTTCTCTCGGCTCCAGCTTCTCCGAACCCTTCACTATGAGTGCAAGCCAAAGCCTATCTGGCCTCTCGCTCTTATCCTATACCAACGACAAAGAAACCTTCACTAAGCTGTTGGTGCCAGTCGAGCAGGCTGAGAAGTCGGGACAACAACCGCGCAGGTGAGCCAAGGAGCGCATCGCCAATGGAGTCGCCGTCCTCGAGTTCGTGCGCTAAAATACAACTATTCCCGTGCCTCGCGTCTTCAGCTCCGGTGTTATAGACGATGACACTTACTACATAATTATAGAACGCATCAAAAACGCAGTTCCGCTATTTGATCTGCAGGACGAGTGTGGGCGGGAGGCCACAAGGCGCCATGTAAGGAATGTCTGGACATCGCCACAGAAAACGCGCGCCCGTACGTTCAGCATGCGCAAAACATACTCGCAGGATTCAACAGCCCGGCCTCGGGGTTCAACGGCGTCGTTATCCCTTCACACTTTGTGACGCAGACCGACGACCGCGCAGCGTGGGGCGTGCAATACGCACCGCGGAACGAGAAGTTCGTTTTGATGCAGGGCGATCTGGGACCCGGTAACGTCATGATTGACTTGACGACACTCGAGTTCAAGGCCATCATTGATTGAGAATGCGCCGGCTTCTACCCAAAGTGGCTTGCTGAGAGCTTCTGGACGGTCGATCAGAAGGAGTACTATGGTTTCTAGAACAGGTCGGGGACGTACATTCAGGCTCTAGATGGCAAAGGGCTCTAAGGTTATGACCAATTTTACTTGGATGGGGTCTACATGTATATATTTAAGGCACTGAATACACGTTGAGGCTCCTTGGAATCCATGTGCCGTGGTCGGGACTGTAGAATTATAATTGTACCGTTTTTTCGGCAGGCTTCATTTAAGTCAACTAATTATGTTATATATTAGTTAGTTTTAATTAAAATTATAATGATATATTTTATATAGATCTGTAATTAGTATTTAAGAGCATTAAATGTTTTATAATCTCTGTTGTGCAGGGGACCTCGGTGCGTTAGTTATATATATTATTATTCCTTTTAATATCACCACAAGGGCATGTGGTGTAATTGGTTGCATACGGGACTCATTGTCCGGCACCCGGGGTTGTCGGTTCGAATCCGGCCATGTCCAACTGTTTTTTTTTTTTTTTTCTAGATTTTCCTTTTCAGGCCAATGCCTTTATAATCTTTTCCATTCCACAGGCTTGGCACAGGTTTGGTTGGAACGCATGTATTGGGGGGCGCGTGAACTTACTCGAAAGCCTGGCGATGCGCTATACGAGCCGGCCATCCGACCAGGACTTCGAATAACAGCCCAAACTCACGCCCCAAAACCTGTTCATTCGTGGGAGGTGGAAAAGAAGAGGTGACAAGGAAAATCCCTCGCGACGAATCCAAGGCGTCGAGGCCCCTTATAAGGAGCCTGCCAAGAAGGGCCGTGCGGGTGCTAACCTGTTAGGGGAATAGAAAACACCATCCTACTACTAAATCAATTCCCGCTAGAGCACCATGCGCTTCCCACAATTTCCCCGCAAGCGGCATGGAAGCCGGAGTTGGGCTAGATGCAATCCTAGGTGGCTGCTTGGCGGAGAGATAGCTAAGGCACTCAACAAGACCCTGGTGTCTCTGTCGAACAATACCCTTATTTTTGTACATTTGATGAAACCGCAACGACTTGCGGTATGACCGACGGGACGCCCATCGATAGCTAGTCGCAGGGCCTGTCGGGGATCCGCGTAGCTATAAGAAGATGATGCGCGATGAGAGGTAGGTAGGAATAGAGAGAGGGAGAGGGATATCAGATTTCTTCTTCGCATCATTGGACCAGCCAACGAGTGCAATGAAAAAAAAAAAAAAAAAAAAAAAAAAAAAAAAAAAAAAAAAAAGGGTTTGGCCGATCAATTGGGAGGTGGATTGAATTTAAAACATGAAAAGGGGGCGGGGAGAGGACCGTGAAGAGGGGTGTGCC